CAAAAATATAACTCCTGTATGATTCCACTTATGAGGTACTGAAAATAGTCAAAAATCACAGAAACTATGTTAAATGGTTGGTTACCAGGGCATGTCTGTGTTTCATGCAATTAATAACTGATGGAGCTGAAAATGAAAATGAATAAAAGCAACGAAATAGTTCCTATCATAATAAAGGTAGTTTAAATTTGCCTACCAAAACACAAAAGCTTTATAGATTGGGTTAATAAAATCCAGCCATATGTTAACTAATAACTAATAACTAATAATCTAAGGGTCAAATCCCGGGGGTCTGGCTGCAGGGTTAGTGGTTTTAACCACTAAAACATACTGCTCAACAATGAAGGTTAAAGGAAAGAAAGAGAAAACTGAACAACAAATACAATGTAATCAGTACAGATCTCAAGAGTTTAATGTCTGTAACAAAGGAAATACTGATAAGAATATTCTACAGGACTCTGTCAAAATCATTGAATAACTTAAAGGAAATCTAACTTCATACTTCAACACACAACAGTATGAGTGAATCTTGTCATAAGTGACAAACGTGAAAAAAATTAAATACACCATACTTTTATGTAGCTTAAAAACTATATAAAAATATATACTTTAAGAAATACATATAGATGTATACAGATACAATAATACTACATAAAAAGCAAGAAGATGACAAACATGATATATAGAATGATGCCTTAGGTGAGGGGAGGCAGGTGGATGAAATAGAAGGGTGGGTGAGAGTAGAATTGTGTGGCCATATATAGGTTGTGGTCCAAGTCCTATATTTCATATTGGTTCATATATCCATAACTTGTATTATATTATTCACAAGTTATTAGCAAATAGTAATTTACAAAACTAACTGCTGTTGAAACAGTATGACAGCTCTCAACCGTATCATACAGTATTGTTTTGGTAATGCTAAAGTTATAAGACCAGAAAATGAAATATACAGTATGAATATTAGGGGGAAAGTTTTTTCACTATTGTTTTGATTTGATTTTGCAAGATGAATGGCTTTGGCAACTAAAAAAATCTAAGATATTCAATATAAAACTTTTAAAACCAACAATCCTTAACAGGAATAATTCAACAATGGAATGTTATGCAGCTGTGAAAAAAAGAATTAAGTCTATTTGTTTTGATCAGGAAGGATGTTTATGATATGTTTTCAAATAAAAAGTATAAGAGGCAGAATAATACATATAGTATGATCTCATTTTTATAAAAAGTAACTTTAAAAAATATACAGATATATATTCATAAAAATTTATATAATAAGCCAAAAAGACGTAGAAGCACATGCCTCAACCTTTAGCTGGCTCTATGGATAGGTGTGACTGAAAAACTCTTAAATTCTCTCTTTAACATCTCAGTGCCCTTTAAAGAATTACAATGAATTGGCTTTATTGTTGTTTTTTTAATTACAGTATTGTTTTTAAAACCAGTATCTATAATTATTTCATAGGCTAAACATTTTATCTCATTACCTTTTTCTGATATTTATACTTAAGCAGTATAACAAATGATGATAAAGTGACCTTTCTAAATACCCTAAATAAATGGGCATTATTCAAATATCATTTGCCAATTCAATCACATCATTTGTATACGATGTTAGTCTATGTTCTATCGATTCAAATATTAAAACAATGTTTTGTCTCTTATTAATAACAAGTGTATTATAACCCAAAACTAATTTAGACTAAACCACCACATCACAAACATCATGCAACAATGATAATCTGCTTACTAGAACATAAAATACTTAAAATTATATCAGCAAATATAACCCTTATAACAGCATAGTGTATTCTAGAACTCAAGGAAATTGAGTTAATAATCTATAAGAACATAAACTCCTAATACATTTGTCAAACAATAATAAAATTAGATATTCATAATTAGCCATTCAAAAGTTTGAATGCCATACTGGCACCTCATATCAAAATACACAAAAATGAGTTAATTTTCTTTTCCTCTTCCCAGTTTCCCTATTTCTGCTAATGTGAGCAATAACTTCTGAATACCATACTGACACTAAACTGTACACCACCACTGGGCTTGTCCTATCCTCCCTTCCCTATTTGTATCTGGTCACCAAGTTTTGCCTCATCTTCTTCAAAATGTTCCTTGTATTGCTCGTATTATCAACAATATTGATGTCTCTAAACTCACTAGGGTCTTTCTCACCTTAGAGCAACATTACTGGAATCATGAATACAAAATAAGACACAAAGAGTCTCCTGAATGGCGCCACCATCTTCAACCTCTTCTCCCTGCAATTCATCCTTCATTTGTATCCAAAAAGATTCATTTTTAGGACCATCCCTTTTATCTCACCCTTAGTCAAGAAATTACCATAGATCCTCACTGCCCGTAAGATGAAGTCCAAGCCCCTCCCCTTCAGCCCACCACTAAGCACAGTCATCACGACCACCATCAAGTGATACACTCCCTGAAGACTGGGAGCACTACTGGGCAATGTGTTCTGCCCTTTGTATGTGCTCAATAAATGTTCGTGGAAAGAAGAGGAGAGGATCAGGAGGAAGAAAGTAAGGATGATAGAAAGTTTGGAGTGAGATGGGAAAAAAGGAAGACAGGGGGAGGGAGATGGATGAAAGGAACATATTGAGGAACAAGACAAAAGATTGATCAGACCAGAACTTCAGAGTAGGAGTGATACTAATTGTGATGTACAGTAGCAGCCATTCACAGACAGAGATTGCCTTTGACTTTCCTAGTATCCAGTACCATGTTCACTCCAGCCTGTGCTGAGGTTGAAATTGATACTCATGTTCTGTATCTGACCAGATGAGCAAACAAATGTTATACTTCTCCAATTTAAAAAATGATGGCATGAAATCAAATGAAGCTTATTCTAGACCATCAACATTTCAAACTATTTGTTAAATACCCAATAGGACTTCCAGCTCCAAGAACTGAGTGTGCCTTGAGATAAAGGGTGATCACATCAGGTATATTGTGGAACCTAAATTATATTTTTCTCATGATTTAAACTATTTTCTGGATCAATTATATGTCCTACGTTGTCACCCTACTGTGTTTTCTTAATACTACTAACAACGCTAATGGCAAACATAATACTTGATGGTGCTTACTATGTACCAGGTTCTTATACATTTCACATAAGTTACCTCATTACTAACAACTTTATAAGGTTAAGTGTTATGATTATCTTCACTTTATATATGAAAAAAAGTGAGGAACAAGAACGTCAAGTAAACTGCCCATGGTAACAAGGCTTATAAATATAACTTTGGAACATATTTTTTTAACAGTAGTATTCCATAGCATAAAAACTTATAAAATCTATATAGTTCTCTTATTTGACAATATTTGAAATCTCAGCCACTATTATAGAATTATAGCATATAGCTTATAAAATATTTTACAGCACTTTATTTCAAAGAGGGTCACAAGTTAATAATTAGAACTCTACCTACTAGTAATAAATGTGCAGAAGATTATGGACTTGCCTGTAGCCAGCTAAAAGTTGAAACATAAGAGAGTCATTACATCATTAGTCCTCACTGCATCCCTGAATCAGCTACTATTACTAACAGTGCACTTTTTAAAACAGAGACATGTGACACAGGTTACATAAAATTTCAACAGCCACCAG